AAAAACAATGAGGTGTGTTACGGGGTCCATTAAACTAAAGCTAGGAGATAATATGAATGGATTAGTTTGTGGTACATGATAATAGTCCACACATTAATTGTTTTTACTTAAAGTTATAGCTAATTGGTTCCTAATTGAGGTCCTAAGATGAAACTAACGTGGTAACAAGATTATTTAAGTGATAAAAACAGGCTACCCTGCGTGGAGACACTCTGCTTTGTTATATTCATAAAGCCCTGAAACCACCAGCCTGGCTGACCTGTTTTACGTCATAAACTGAGCAACAAAGTCCAAAAAAAAACACTGAAAACCTCCAGTGTGTCGTTACCTGCACCCTGCTGCTGTATCTGTGATGTAAATCTGCATCAGTACACGGCTCACTTGCACACACGACGTCCAAAAGTGGCTGATTAAAACGCCTCGGGGTCAAAAGAGCACGTATGCACACAGATTAATGGGATAAAAAGCTGTCATAACTCATAAATGATCCTCTCTGGGGCCCCCTGCTTGTATACTAAAAGGTGATCGGGTTTGTCATGTGATCAATACACATCACAGTAACTGTTGCTCTCCCCCCCCCCACACAGGTGTAGCACAGGAACCAGGTGGTCTACACGGAGCTACAAACCCACCTAAAAGTGTTTGTTGCTGTATGCACAACTGCGAGTGGTCACGTTGGAGGAGGACACAGTGCAATAGGATTGAAGGGTTTTAAGTTGCTGCCGTTTTGGTGTCCAGGGTTAGAGCCGCTGGCTGGGTAATCAATTAGCAGATCAGCGATTAGAGAAGGCTTTCTCAGTCACCTGCATCACCGCGTAATACCTTAATCCACTGCACCATATGCTGCGACTGCCAGGAAGTAGATTCACTGTCACACACGCACAGGTAGAGACCACCTGGACGCCACACACACACACACACACACACACATTAAACACACACACACACACACACACACACACACACACACACATTAAACACACCTCAACATTAGTTAGTCTGCTGTAACAATGTTACCTGAACTGCCTCTGAGCCACGAAGGGGTTAATAATGTCAGATAATAACTAAATAACTTGAATTATGTCGGAAAAGCAGCTTCTTTTAACCAAACTTTACAAATGTGCGAGTAAGTGCAGCGTTTGGCACAAATAAGAGACTAAATTAAAGTATTTGGTTCAGTTCTTATAGGTTATTTTAGCGTTTTAACAGCTTTTGACAACTAATTTTCAAAGAACCCAAAATTCTGCCGTTCTTTCTCTTTACTTTTCTCTTATCTGTATGTACTTTTATACTTTTACTCTCTTTGAGCTTCGTTTTTTTTACAGATTAAAATGTTAAAAACACTTTAGGGGCCGTAAACTGTCTGTCTTTGCATCTTGTGAAGGTTAGGTTATAAAAAGTCCTTTAAAAAGAGAAGATAAAAGCAGTCCGAACAGTACACGGGCGGGTTTGTAAACACAGGTGAACCTCACACACATATGGAGGAGAGGAGAAAGTGACTTGAGCTCGACTGTTTTTACAGAAAGAAGCAGGACTCAAACTGAGGAAGGGTCTTAAAATCTCCTCAAACTGAGGCGACATCCAACAACAGCAGGAGTTTTCTACCTGAGATAAATCTTTACTAACTGATCCTCGTTAACCAACGTGTATATCTTAGTAGTTTACTACATTTAAACTGCTGATCAAAGAAATATCACTTTAACTTTTACTGGCAGGTTTCTCTGCAGATGTTGGAGAATATTTGTTGGTGTTTTTTACCAAATTAATTCTTATTTGTGATACAAGCTCTTCTAATTTCAGTATACTTAATAGAAAATGTGGACTTTTCCTTTTTTTGGCCCCTCCTCTCTCTCTCTCCTGCTGTCACTATCGATTAAAGGCAATAAATACAAATATCTTTATATCAGAAACTCAAATCTTATGATGTCAGGGAGACTGTGGAGTCTTGACGTGGCTTTTCCTTCTCCTGACTTCCTCTTCTTCCTCTTCTTCCTCTTCTTCCTCTTTACACCTCTGAGTGCTCACTAACCCAAACTCCTCTGCTGTCATTCACTGTGTCTCCTCCCTCTGATACACACAGGGTAGATTAGAGGATCAGCATCCACAGGGCTAATGTTAAAACACTGCAGCCACCACTGCTACAGATGGCGTCGTCGCACACACACACACTGAAAGTGGGTCAAAGTCCTCGTATTTGTCCGTTTGCCTTAATTACTGCGATTGGTAGTGGGTTGTTTATCGGTTGTTTATCGTGTCTTAATTCAGCTCACACTCAGAGTAGTTGGCTGATGAGGATGTTTAAGAAGCACGGGTGAGACAAGGGAGGAATTACTCCCCTTAAAATGTCTAGTTCATCACATCAGACGAACAGAGCCGATGGAAGAACAGTTTCTCACATCGCAGCTGCCGTTCGTGTTTCATGTGCATCGGTGAAAGGTTAAAACTCTTTGTATTTGCTGTTTTATGTAGACTGGACAGCGTGTGCTTCGTTGTGGAGGTTAAACAAGAGACAGAACGATGAGTCGATAAGTCAATTGGCAGAAAATTGATGGGAAACAAGTTTTGAAGACGAGATAATTGTAATTTTTTTAAGCAGAAATGACAAAAATGGAATATTTGCTTTTAATATACGAAATATCTTTGAGTTTTTCACTATATTATAATATTTTACAGACCAAACAGTCAGTTTAATGAAGGGAGTGACAGATTAATTGATTGTCTCTCTTTATCTCGTCCTTAACGAGTAAATATCTAATGGGTAAAAAACACATTGGAAATAATCCTCTTACTCGTTTTGGTGACGTGAAAATACACATACACAACAGGATTGTGTGGTACTGAGAACAGCAGCAGTATTTAAAGTAACACACCTCATACATAACTAATAACGACGTAACACTAACACCTTGTTAACTGCAGCCCACGACTTCCTGTCAACGCTTCATAAACACAACATCTGTCCGTATGTTGTCTCATGGTAACGTAAAAGCAGCACGGTAAAGAAAACAACACGTTTCTGGAACAAATATTAACGTTTTGAGGATTTTCTTGAGACAACTTGGATAACTCCCTCGCCGCTTGAACCACTGTAGTTTGCAAATTATGTATTTATTATATTATATTTATTATTTATATGTATTTATCATCATAGCTGAATTATGTATTTCTCCTTTTCTGCCCTTAAATCATTGAATGTAATCTGAAACTTAACATTTCTCCAGTAAACTAAAGCATCAGGGTCAGTTTTCACTGTAAAACACACTCAATATCTCTTTTGGATACAAAATATACAAAATTATTCAAGCTTTTATATCTTTTTTTAAACATATTGTGGCTAAAAGCATTTAGACAGCGGGTGCAGTTAATAATACATTTATTTGTAAAGC